TCATACCTTTCCAAAGATCTTTTTTATTCGAAGAAGCAGACCGATAATTTAAATAACCACTCCTCTCCAGACGGACTGCGTTAGTAACTGCGTTTCGAAGATCTTTATAGTAACTATAGTCCAAGACGTTTTTAGTTTTCTTGTATTTGGCTAAAGCAGCATTACGAGTTTTCATCATATTCTACAGGTTGCTTTGTAATTCTTGATTCAACATAGGGAACATGTTTGTCAAAGAGCGAAACTAAAATATCATTGAAAAATCGAATTTTATTTATTATAAAATTTTCGTACAGTATATTATCCCATGACATTTTTTCCAGATCTGCATTAAAAGAAGATATTGAAAAGTTTTTGTAATTTCTATATATCTTTAAAAAGTTTGTTTTGTAAATAATATCTAAATCAAATCCACAGTACACTGCTCTATGGTCAGATAGTTCATGATCTAAAATATCACAACAAAAATATTTTATATCAGAATTTACCTCATTTGGCTCACCTTTTTCACCTACTTTATTGTAGGTATTTATTTACTTAAGTCCTCTGTTTTTACTGCATTTTCTAATAGTTTTTTCAATTTCAATGTATTTAAAACACGCTATAGATTAGAATAAAATTTCAATAGTTTTACCTAAGTGTGAAATATATAGTAATGACGCTAAAGAATTATATAAAATTTACGTATAATACAATATTTGTATCTTTTTCTCAGCAGGAATGTACAGGCACCAAATCCGTGGCCTATTTTGCAGGCGCCAGGATGTGGTCTGCAACGTTTAAGGCACTTTGAAATTCGCAATTTTACAGTTTTTTCCTCTCGGCATTCTGACCGGCACATCCGTTAAAAAAAGAACAAACAGCTCTTCAGTCGTTTACCTGTATTATAATTTAGTGTGGATGCTTAAAGAGTGGCCGGTAGCATGTGTCTGTCAAATCAGTGTTGTTAACTGTGTGCAACTATAATTTGCACATCTACATGCAGTGTTTTGTAGGCTAAAGACATGGCAGGACGAAAGAGAGTCACGCCGGAATGGGGCGCGTACTCAGTAGGCCTAGGCAGGTGAGCCGCAAAATCAACAAACTCGTCGGCACGCGAACATTGATGCCATTATCATTGAATTTCTTTCAAACACAGACATTTTATTAACAAATGAAGAGTATAGATGCAAAAGTCACATTGTCCACTCTTTAAAATTTTAGAGAAAATGAAAGAAACGTATACAAACAATATTATAAAGTCAACAATAATGAATTTTTTTGATAAGTTTAGAAAGTAACTTAATAATGGATTTTATAAAGATATGCTGAGGAACACAGCTCTGGATACAAAAAAATAGGTATTAATTTGAATAATGTTACTTTTGGTACTAAAATTTGGAGAATGTGAGGTCTCCACTGTAACAAGGTGGAAACAATTAGTTTTGAAGCCAAGCTTAATGGGAATGTTCAGGTAAAAAAGTTCCATAATATAATTTATTATTTACTTTATTTATATAATCTAGGTATAAAATAATCGGCGATATAATCGAAGAGGAAATCGAATCAGTGAAAGGTATGAAGAAGAGCAAATCACCTGGAGAAGATGGCATTGTAAGTGACATGCTAAAATTAGGATGCGAATGCGTCATAAAAGCTTTAAAAACCGTTTATAATGCCTGCCTCTTTGGAGGAATTACACCAGAAAAATGGAATGGTGCCATTCCATGCGTGCCAGATATTGGAAACTACAGACCTATCAGCTGGTGATCTCATTTATATAAGCTCTTTATGAGAATAATTACTAACAGACTGGAACCTAAGCTGGATTTTTACCAACCATTAGAGCACACCGGATTTAGGAGTGGCTTTAGAACGAATGACCACCTACAAGTAATAAAATCCTTAATAGAGAAAGTTACAGAATCCAACAAGCCATTGATATTAATATTTGTAGACTTTGAGACAGCGTTTGACTTAGTCAAGCATAGCTCCATGTTAAGAGCTCTTACAGAGTGCAGTATTGATCATAGGTACACAACTCGTCTTCGGAGTATATATAATAGCGCAACAGATGATACGGAAAAACTCGGTTAACACCAAGATTGGTTGTACAGATAAAAAAAACAGCGTACATGACGATAACTGTGGTTATTTTAATGACTAACTTAACCCATCGGAATTAGAAATCTTTTGAGATATCTCATCTGTATCCTCTTCTTCTTCATGGTTGATGTTTAGAATCAGATCGGCAATTGCGTCATCTGTCAGTTCCATTTCTTCATTTCCATTTCTCCAATCGATGATATCTTGGTTTCCGATTGGTTAGATTGGCTATAGTATTAACTTCATAGTCATCAATTTCTTTTTGAAGATCCAGTGTTTTGTTTTCTATCTGAACCAGATGCAATCCAATAGCAAACATCTTCAACCGTGATCTTTTTCATTGCGTCAATTACAGTCAGCCCTTCATCCAGCTTTTTCAGTAGTACCTGAAGAAGCCTTCGCTGATAATTCCTCTTCATTGCTTCTATCACGCCTTGGCCTAGGAGTTGCTTCTAAGACGTCACATTGAGTGAGAGAAACACAGCTCTTATGTCACTACTAATCAATTCACTCGCGTCTGGGTGAGATCGCGCGTTGTGCGGCACCAACAAAGCTTTCGAAGGCAGATTTTTGTTTCTTTGGTAGACCAATGACTAGTACACAGTCGTTAAAAAAAAGTTCTTAAAAATGCTACAGTCCATCCATGCATTGCGTTGGTTTTTATAGGTAGTTAAACAATTTTCATTGGATATTTTTGAATTCCCTTGAACTTTTGGATTTTTCTATTCAAAGAGGTTTTAATTGTAATGAGTTAGAAGTTGTGTTGCACATCATGATTATGACTCTTCCTTTGCTTTTCTTGTAGCCTTATGCAATTCCTTCATTTTTAGCGGCTAGTGTTTTCGAAATAAGCATGTTAGTCAGTCAATCTTTTGATAATCTCTTGTTATTTTAAGTAAAATATTATAAATTAATTACCATTAAACTGGGAATAAGCCACAATTAAAGATAAACATGCGTTTATTGACGTTTCAATTTCCACTTCGGAAATTGAAACGTCATTTTCATTCAAAAAGGATTTCCGAAGTGGAAATTGAAACGTCAATAAACGCATTTTTATCTTTAATTGTGGCTTATTCCCAGTTTATATAGTAATTAATGTACAATGCCACAAGAAAATAGCTTCAGAACAATATTAAAATATTCCAATTTCAGTTGAGTCAGCAAAAGTTTTTCGCCACAAAAATTTAATTTTGTCGGATATTATACCATATTTTTTCTTCCATGATCGAACCCTCATTAGCACAAAAAGTTTTCACCTTAATCCATAAACTTTTTGTGGAATGCAAAAACTTTTGCTTGGTGTATTGGGCCACTTATCTAGCTACCCAATCCTTTCATTTGTGAAAACAACAACGCCTCAGAAGTTTGTTTATGGTCTTTATGGTCTTCTTCTTATGGTACTTCTCTTACGCGCGTCTTGCTTACTATGGTACGTCTTACGGTACTTCTTTAACATCTAAATCTGAAGCAACCTTCTCTTTATTGATTTACGACTTTTGTCCTGGTTAACCAAGGTGCTCGGATAACCTAGACTCGGTTAATCGAGAGTCTACTCCATATATTTCTTGCACGGAAAAAAAAAATACTGCCAAATTGGAATTTTTTTTTAAAATTGTTACGTTAAATCATCATTTAGATTATTACACATTAAATTTGATGTAAATATCAGACAACAATAAATATTGACCAATAGGACGACGTGATGGCCACGGTATTATATTACGGCAACTCGCAAGATTGGTGTAGAGATGGCCGAGGGGTGGAAGTTAATTTAGCACAGGTAAAAGGGGTGCCTCAGGGCGGCTTTTATAAATCGTTTAAGGATGTGTTAGTTTCTACGCAAATTATAGAGTAACTTGCCTTATTTGTAGTATCTTGTTAAATAAGGATTTAATATGATTATAATTGTGTCAAAATTAAAACATCATATGAAGATATTAATCGTGTTGGTTGGTTGTCTTTGAATTAAAATAATACTTAGCGATAGCTTAATCCTATCATAATTTCTGAAGTTATTACTATTAAATTTCTATGGGTATTATTTAAGAAAAAAAGGAAATTTTAAAATAATGCTAAATCTGTGCAGGGTAAAGATAAAAATATTTTTAATGGTAAAAATTAAATTGTTTAGGAGAAAATAGAGCTGATTTTCAGCTGATAAAGTTCTCAATTTCTTCATCGCTATGACTCGTCGTGGGTGCATATACTTGGATAATTTTAATAGAGCGTCCCCCGTTCAGTTTTAATATGAGGTACACAACTCTCGAGCTTACACTCTCTATTTTTATAATTTTATTTAGGTCTTTCTTGTGCACCAATATATTTTTAAAACTAATTGATTTTCTCCTTTTCTTCGTATTTCGGAAAGTCCCAATACATCCCATTTTATGCAGTTAAGTTCTTCCTCTAATTCAACCAAACATGGACATAACAAAACGTCTTACGGATGGCCGATGGAATAAAGAAATCGAAAAGTGGCTACCATATGAAGCCAAAAGACCACGAGGAAGACCGCAAATGCGATGAAGCGACGATATTAAAACAACTATACAGCAGAGGACATGGATTTGTTTCATGAGGTTGATTTAAGCAAGAAATCCAAAGACCGCCAATCATCTACTGTAATACACAACCTAGATGTTCTGTATCTAAATAGGAGAGCAATAACAAAAGAAAAGAAAAAAATTTAATGGACTTACTTAAGTTTATTCAGCTGACTTCCATAGCTTTTATTCTGGATTGATTGATAGTTTCCGATGCATTAGATGAGGGCTTAGAAGAAGCAATTATGCATAAAAATTAAAAATACTCACTAGAATAGATTTTTAGCTAATAAGCTGGAGATTTAATTCTGGTAATCTGGTGGTTTTTTCTGGTAATCTTAATTTTTGTTTTAAACAATTTACTTGTTTTAGTTTTCTTTATGGCAAGTGTGCCTAACCATATCTTAAAACACAAGATTCTCTAGGAATATATTTTTTGTAACGGCAAATGTGCCTATACTTTTTGAACACAGAATTAGAATAATAACACTTGGGTGAGATTTTTCTTTAAAGGTTGTTTTAAGACATTAGCTTCTCCTTAAAAAAATTATGTGTTACATTTTTTTTATCATAAAAACTGTATTTTTTATTTAAAGTTAACTTTGACATGATTTATCACAAAACTCCACTTTGTGGATTAGTCACCTTTGCTTCTGAGCCACTCAAATATCTGTACGTCTAAAGCAGATAACTTATCTAAACCGCGACCCCTTTTTACTAAAAAAAATGTTCGCGACCCCCCAATTTCCCCCCACTCATTTATTTAATATTATTTGACAGAAATAGCGTGCCTAATTTATAATTATCTGATAGTTTCTCAAATTTAATTTTACTTTACTGTTTAAGTTTAAATAAAAAACAATTATTTTATTTTATTACAATTATTTTAATGATTGCGATCTGTCCCACTAGTAATTAGTAGTAGGTACTTCTGCCAGAATAGCATTTACAATAAAAATAAATAATAAGAAGTCGACTGCACATTGTACACCGCGACATATTAGCTTGTGTCTACATCGCAAAACTCTTCCATGATAATCGCGAAAGCGCCTGCTACTAGATGGCACTCTGAAACGTTCTCGTAGCCTCGTTTTGGCTTTATATAAGCGGCGATGCGCAACGAAACCTCAGTTCGAATCCAAACAGCCTATGGTGGCGAACGCGGTGTTGAGTAAATATTTTACGACTTACGTATTCTCGTTTACGTATTTACATCTACGATAAATTATAAATTATGGATAATTGTTTTAAAAAAGAAGTGCAGAACCATCTACGTCTGAAAGTAGCAGTAGCAGCAATAAAAAGAAAAACAGATTCTACATTGATGAATATCTTAAATATGGTTTTACCGTTATTTCCATAACGGTAAAATGTGGTGACACAATGTGTTATTTACGGACAAGTCTTGTTAAAAGAAAGCATGAAGCCATCAAAGTTACTTCGACATTTAAATAGCAAACATCCAGATAAAAAAGACAAGCCCAAAGAATTCTTGGAAAGAAAGCTGAACGTCCTACACAAACAGCAAGACAGTTTTCCCTTGGCAACCACTACTAATGAAAAAAGCATTATTAGCAAGTTATAAAGTTGCTTATCGTGTTGCCAAACTGGTAAATGGGCACACAATTCCTGAAAATCTGATTTTTCCAGCAGCTGTTGAAATGAGAAATCCAAAGAAGAATTAGTGATATGGCAGAAGATATTTAAGCGCAAGTTGTGGAAAATCTTAATAAATGCACGTACTTCTCTCTTCAAATGGACAAATCCACAGATATATCTAACTGTGCCCAATTCATTAAATTTGTAAGATATGATACAAATAATGGCATTCAAGAAGATATTTTATTTTGTTCCCCATTGGAGACCAATACCACTGGAAAATATTTACTCGACACTTTTGTGAAACGTACAAGTAAATATGATATTGACTGGGGTAAATGTATTGCTATATGCACAGATGGCGCTAAAGCTATGACAGAACATAAATCTGGTCTTGTCGTCAAATTACAAGAAATAATGCCTAATGCCAAATGGAGACATTGTTTTTTACATCGAGAAGCTCTTGCGTCCAAAGCTTTACCTCCTGAAATGGACTGTGTTATGAAAACCATCATTTAAGTTGTTAATTCCATTAAAGGAAAAGCTTTGCCGTATTTTTAGAAATTCGCGAAGACATGGGTGCCTTATTTGAAAATCTTTTCTATCACACCGAAGCAAGGTGGCTTTCAAGGGGCAACGTCTTCAAAAAGAGTATTTCACTTAAGAGCAGAGCTTTTAATGTATTTGAAAGATGAGAAGTCCCATATGAAAATCAATTTTCCGATCCTGTTTGGCTTCTGAAACTAGGTTTCCTTGCTGATATTTTCGAGCAATTAAATATTTTGAACAGTAATTTACAAGGTCGCGACATTAATATAATTACAGCCACAGATAAAATTATAGGCGTTTCTAAGAAAAATCGATTTATGGTCGACCTCACTTGGCAAAAAACAACTCGATTCATTCCAGTGCCTTCAGGAAATTATGGAAAATGTAACCAATTACAGTGCTACAAATTTTGAACAAGTTTTTGCTGACATGCATGTTACTTTGCTCAATTTAAAACAACAGCTCTGTGATTATTTCCCCGAAGAAATTCAAAACAGTTACGACAGTTGCAGATGGATACTAAATCCGTTTTTAGCCGATTCCTTTCAGCATGTTGAAATACCAATAAACATGAAAGAAAAACTTTTGAAATATCAAGTGATGGAATGTTGAAGCTCCAATTTTTTTCCCAGAACTCGGACCAATTTTGGACCGAAAAGATGCAGGAATTACCCCCAGTTGGCGAGTGAAGCTGTAAAATGTTTGGTTCCATTTATAACATCATATTTGTGTTAGTTAAGTTTCTCGTCAATGACTGCCATTAAAACAAGAGTTAAAAATCGTCTCGTACTTGAAAATGATATAATTGTGTGTGTCTCAAATACACACCTAGATTTGAAAGATTAGTTTCACAGAAACAGGCGCATAGCTCTCATTAAGATTATAATATTTGACTTTGTTTTACTCTTTTATTTTTACGGATTTTAATATTTAGTTTTATATTTCGTCTGATAATTAATTGTTAATTTCTATTTACAGCGTGGTTAAAATAAAAATACATGATCTAACAAAGTGGTGCTTTTGTCTTATTTTTGGCAATGTTCGGCGACCCCCTACTACCTCATGGCGACCACCACTTTGGGAAACACTGGTCTAAAGGATACTCTTTTTTCTATAAAGAGTTTCTTGGCATCTACCTGTGTTTGCTACTGATTTAAAATAGTTAAACAATTTAACGAAGATATTACTTGTTGTTTATGGAAAGAGCTGAAATATTTCTTGTGTAAATTAAAAAAAAAACCGCCAATACAAAAAAAGTATAATTACCGGGTCTAACTATCGCAACGATCATTAGCAATTATTTTTGAAATCATTCCATAACAAACCTTGTTTATTTAAAAAATACTTTACTTTTACGATAATAAGTCATTTGTTTATTTTTACCCTATCAAAGTTTTACCATTTAATTGACATACTCATATGGATACTTGACAATTATAATGATAAACGTCGACTTTTGATATAATTATTAGTTATATCATTTTTACTGATAGCCGGTTTATGTCACTAGAATGACAAATATAGCAAAAACTAGCTTTAATTTTTTTAACGAGCATACAATGTTGTCTTTACGTAAGAGTTACTGTAGAAATGAACATTTTTGTATTATACTAAAATAAGTTTGGATTCGATATCTTTCGAAACAAATACAAACAGATACCCAAGAAAAGGTTTTTGAATACATGTTTTTCAATATTTTGTAAAACTTTGATCCCTACTTGGCATAGGACAACTCTCACCAGTACATAACTAGTGATCAAAAAAAAAAATTGACTAGAGAGATAAAATAATCTGGTACGCACACAAAATAGCCAAAGTAGTAGAACATGTATTTTATTGATTTTTCCCATTATCCATGTTATTCATCGATGTGGGAAGAACAAGATAGATTATATATAAAAGAACAAAAAAATCCGGAATGAGAATAGCTTTTAACTTTCCATCATTCGCAGCGTTAGAAAAAATCTAAAAATATTTCGCCGTAATTTTCGAAATATTGCTTCTTTTGGGTTCTGCAACCAGGAATACTCCTATGAAGACTCGTATAAGACTAGGTTAAATAATGGTGGGAGTACCTATTATCTTATAGCCGACAGAAGTTGTTGTTATTTCAAATCTAACACGCGAGCTTTCGCGTTCGTCGGAGCGTTACAAAAAAATATAACTATGCGAGTGTTGATGTGTGTTCATTTTTAGAGAGATCACTTAAGAAAAGTGATAATATTATCATGAAAGGTAAAATTTTTAGTGAAATACCTATAGATTGTTGAACATCCGATATTAAAAGCGCTATTTTGGTTTATTGCAGGTAAATATATACAAGAAAATGGAAAACCAGTTACTAAAAGCCAGAGACTATTACTGATTAGACCTCACAAAAGGCGAAGTGGATGTTGTTGATAAAATGAAGGCAGAATACTCGGTAACTCGATTTAGCAATCGCTAGGCGTTAACTGTTTTTTGCAGCCTACCAAATATTTCAACTATAAACAGCCAAATAATTTACAACAATAACACTAATATTGTAACATCTGGAAGAAGCTACATTGCGGGGCTTAGCAAGCAACTTATAATGTCCATCTGTCAACGACGTTCCAATATCCCAAATCGGCCTTTTTAGTTGAGACAGGATCCGAAATATAACCAGAGAAAAGCCATCAGTTTCTCAAGGTACAACTCCAACTATACCATCATCACCATCATCCTATAACGGGTGTCCTACGGGCGATTGTCGCTATCCGCATTTCATCTCCTTTTCCCATCTCTCCAATCTCCCTCTTCTAAGCCTCTAGATTGCATTGTTTTTGTAATTTCTCTTCTCCAGGAATTTGGTGGTCTTCCCCTTTTCCTTCTTTCTGGCAGAACATACATTAAGGCTTTCTTTGGCCACCGTTTCTCCTCCATTTTCATGACGTGACCATACCATTGTAATTGCCTTCCTTGTATTCTATCTGAAAGAGTATCTCTCAATTCCTATACGGTTTCGTATTTCCTCATTCTCTATACCGTACATGACCTCGACCTCGACATATAAAACCAATATGTTCTTTTTGCTCTGGAAAAAAGGACAGATTTAACCAACATTATTGTACTAACTGTAAGTTGTCGATGTGTAAAGAGACACACTGGTTTAACAAATTTTACTTTTTTGGAATAAATCTTCTTTATTTGTTTTGTTCTAAGGTAGCTCCGTGCGTGACCATGGTAGGGGTACATTGAAACGACGCCAGCGTGCATAGCGGCGAAATA